TAGATGTTGCATATATTTTGAACTATTAAAACGGACATGAAGTATGAACAAGAGTCAGATGACATTGAGGAAGAAGCACATTTACCTTCCTAAGAATCCTGCAGGCAGCTACAAGTAAGTAGGTGCATAGCTTCTGAAATCTTGACAGTGCAGGCAAGCAAATTCAAGAGATGCAGTTTCTTTATGATGTCTCCATTTATGGTTTAGCTCTGATGGAAGTTTCCCTCAAAAGATGGCACTGACAGAATTCACCCCAATTGCCTCAGCCTGCCCCAGGGAATGCACCTTTTGAGGCCTGCTTTGCAGACAATTGTGATGGTATGATCATTTTTTCTGGGGCAGGCTTAGTGGTATCATAGTCTTTTGAATTGGAAGCAGTAAGAGTGAAAAAATATAAATACAATTTAACTGTCAATCTCCTTGATCCATTCAAGACAATATGCTTATTTTATGCAGGAGAACATTCATAATCACATGATATTGTTCTTTAAAATCAAAGGTTACGTTCTCCTTTGCATTTTCAAAAATATTTTACTCCATATTGCCTTAGAATCCTCTAATAGGATTTCCTATACTCTACTTTCAATTTGAGTTTTTAAATTTGTTTTTTTCTGAACTTTTTATATTTACTTATGAGGTAATTTTCATAATGCATCATTTATGCTACACTGAAAGATGGAATCAATGATCTTAAATAGAAATGAAAATGTTTCATGTTTCAAATTTGTTTTGGCTAATATTTTTATGACTATATTATTTTTATTTTTTGGACTTTTTATTTTATGGACCATATTTGTAGCTAATTTTTCCTTAAAATTACTTGCCCATTTGAAAGACTTATTTTATTGGCATATGAGATTTCTCTTTTGCTATCTCCTGAAGCCAGTAGACTTGCTAATGTTTACATATCTTTATTCTTCTTAGGATGGGTATCAGTTAGGGTTACATTTGGCTGCAAGTAAAACAGCCCCAGAAAACAACAGCTGACACAAGATGTCACTGATTTTTCTCTTAAATAAAAGAAGATAAGAAGTAATCCAGGATGAGCATAGTTGGCAGTATGTACTTAAACTGACTCCAGTGATGCACTAGGCTTTGGCATTTGTCCTGAGATCCAAAATGGACACCAGAGCTCAAGACCACATCCACAGCAGGAGAGACAAAGAGAGAAAGAACAGCCCACCATCTCCCTCTAAGGGGACCTTTAAGTCTCATGTAACGTTTTTATGTATATCTTACACAACTTGGTCTCAGGACCACATCTACATTTAAGGAAATTCTGGAAATACAGTTTTTGGTAAACACATAGAAAAATCAACATTACCTTTCATGGAAAATCAGGAGAATAAATGTCAAGAGGCAATCCATGGTTTCTAAACATGGGGATTTAAAGAGATGCCTGTTGTAATTGCAAGGTCATGCTGAATTCCTAGGCTAATGGTAGCCGATGGAATCAGAATCAGTATAACAAAAGTAGGAATATACATGCATAATAAGTATTTGCTGAATGAAAAACACAAATGATGGAATAATGTGTTTCTGATGTAACTTAAATGGATGGCAAATATTTGACTTCACTCTGCTCTGTTTCAAGAACTTCCTGCCTATCCCTCAGCCTGTGTTGTTAAATGCCAGGAAGTCTGGTTGAAATTTGACTGGAATAGGGATCAATAGTTGTCAGCCTGGTCATAGTTTGCGCCTACTCACTAAGTGACCTTGAATTATTTACTTTTATTGAGACTGGGTTCCCCCATTTACAAAATAGGCAAAAAATACATTTTTATTGATTAACTCATTCATTCAACAGATATTTATTGATTAGTTTTTATGTACTAGCCCTAGTGCTGGACAATAGGAAGGTAACCAAAACACAGTGCATGCTCTCCCAGAGTTTAGCAGAGAAGATAGACTGAAAATAATCTCCAAATTAATGTATTTTTACAAATGATTATAAAGTAAATTCAGGGTGGTATAAAATCTAATGGAAGTCCCTAACTTAATTCACAAGACTTGTATAAGAGCAATATGCAATGTTCATCATTATGTTGCCTGACAGTTAATGAGTGCTCGATGTGTGTTAGTGCCTTCCCCATCCTCCTTAAGTCAGAGAAGTAAAAACATGCACAGCTAAATAAAGTACAGCATCATTTCTATGGTAGTAAGTTCTGACCATGTTTTACTGCAGTCAATTAGATTCAATGCATGCAGGTGAAAGATTGAGCCTGTTTGGAGAAAGGGGAGTCAAGGAAGATTTGATGTAAGATGTCACATTTAAACCAGATCTGTTAGAATAAAGACAGGCAACAGGCTGGGCACAGTGGTTCACTCCTATCATCTTACTACTTTGAAAGGCCGAGGCAGGAGAATCACTTGAGCGCAGGAGTTTTAGACCAGCCTGGACAACATAGTGAGACCCTGTCTTTACAGAAAAAATTATTTTAATTAGCCAGACATGGTGGCACACACTTATGGTCTCAGCTGCTCTAAAGGCTGAAGTGAGAGGATTGTTTGAGCTCAGGAGGTCAAGGCTTTAGTGAGTTGTGATCACACTACTGCACTCCAGCCTGGGCAACAGAACGAGACCCTGTCTCAAAAAAAAATTAAAAAAAAAAAAAAGATAATAATGGATGCTGGTGAGGAGGAAGAGAAAGGGGAGCCCTTATACTCTACTGGTGGGAATGTAAATTAGTACAGCCACTATGGAAAAATCTAAAAATAAATCTACCATATGATCCAGCAATCTCATTGCTGGGTAGATATCCAAAAAAAAAAAAAAATTCAGTACCTCAAAAAAAATTCCTGCACTCCCATGTTTACTGTAGCACTATTCATAATAACAAAGACATGGAATCAACTTGTGACCATTGACAAATGAATGGATGAAGAAAATGTGGTATCTTTTGGAATATATCACCACGGAATACTACTAAGCCATAATACAATGAAATTTTGTCATTTACAACAATATGGATACAACTTGGGGATATTACATTAAGTGAAATAGGACAGTCGCGGAAAGTCAAATAGCACATCTTCTCATTCATATGTGGGAGCTTAAGGATAATTGAACTCGTGGAGTTAGAGAGTAGAGTGATGGCTACCAGTGATCGGGAAGGGAAGTAGGGAGAGTGGATAAAAAGAATATGGTTAATGGGTACAAACATACAATTAGATAGAAGGAATAAGATCTAGTGTGGCAGCACAATAGAGTGACTATGGTTAAAAGTAATTTATTGTATATCTCAAAATAACTGAAAGAGTAGAACTGAAATGTTCCTAACACAAAGAAAGGGTAAATGCTTGAAGTGATGAGTATTCCAATTACCCTGAGTTGACGCGTTGTTAGCTTATATCAAAATATCTCATGCATCCCATAAATAAGTGCAACTACTATGTATCCATGATAATTAAAAACAAAAAAATTAAAATAGAATAATGAGGATTAAACCAAGAAGGGAAGTAGAGGAATTTTCAAGAGAGGGAATAGACTGAGATATGATGATTCTCAGGTGTCCTGGGCTTCCACACAAATGGGAAGCCCATTCCATTTGCTCTCCTCCAGTTTTCTAAACCTCAGTTTTCTATGCCCCCTTCACTCCTTAATGTGCTTCCTTTTCACCCAGTAAGAACTTAAATCCTTCAAATTGTCCTTCCCTGTCCCTTTCAGGAAAAAAAAGATAAATCCATTCACTCTGGGAAGTACATAATATGCCAACTTGAAAACTCTTTGATGGAACAATATAATAAAATGTATAAAATCCAAACAAACAGCCTACCAAAGCCAATGTTATTTTGAAACTAAATGCTAAAAACTTCAAACCAATTATAAGCTAAAAATCAGTGTTTTATTTATATATTCTCTCTTGAAAGCATTGCAAATCTTGTCTTCTTTAAAGCAAAATACAAGTAATATATATCAACTAAATAAAAATTACATAGTTCAATTACAGTTACAGAACCTCATAAATGTTGAAACTATTTCCTAAAATGATTGAACCTAATCTCATGCCACTAAATTAAGTAGTTTTGGAAAATGAGTGTGTGGGTGTGTATTATTTTTTGATAATAATTTACTAAAATTAAGGTTTTTGTCTAGTGGACCAATTTTGTAAGGAAAAAGAAGGATGAAAAGCATACATAAAAATGAGGACATCATCCACCCAGGTATGATACGGTAGCCTAAATAAATAGGTATAAAAGAAAAAGCAATATAAAATCACAGTACCTAAATGAAAGGAGTAAAGTCAAAAAAAATCAGGAATGGGTTTGAAATTGAATGCCATTGGAATTGTGTGGGAAGCCAAACACTATTATTCAAAACAAAATTAAAATTCCAAATCATGTTCCGTCAAGATTAAAGAGTAGGTGAAGCTCTTAATGTTGGAATTTAAGTCATCAACAAAAAGGAGGAGAGAGATTTGGAAAGCATTGGGGCTTTGTGCCCCCCAAAATATGTTAACATTGATAAAAATCTTCTTCCCCCATGAGGCTTTGAGGAGTAGCACACTGTAATCCCTAACTGCACCGTTGCTCATACTCTGCTTTGGGTTTTACAAAGGTGTCCCACAGCATCAGTTGAATGCATGTATGGCGCAGACTATATCAGACACCAGGGAACCTAGGTCATGTAGCCAGGTCATCTAACCTCCTCTTATGTATAGCCCACTGTATCATTCCTAGGACTTGTTCAGCGCTACTTCAAGTGATGCCTAGGATTTTGAATTGGTGCCACTTGGAACAACCAACTTATTAAATGATTTGAGAATGATTTTAATAACTGAATATGCATAGAACATAGAGAAAAGGGAATATCATTATAGCCACGTTGTACAAATTTCACAAAAACATTAGTCCTCTACATTGCATTCTCCAGATGGCATGCAACCACCAAACCCAAGGGCATTTTTCTTCTATACTCATTTTATTATTGAGTTTATTAGTGAATAAAACAGATTATAATGAAATACTGTCACAGGTAAAGGACAAATGGGCATAATTACCATTTTAGGGGATCTTTCTCTTCTCTCAGTTATTCCTTGAAGGTCCTCATGGAGATAAGAACAAGTGATTATTTTTAAAAATTAATAATCCTATAGAGAACAAAAAACAGTATCAGTCATGGTGCTATGAAAGCTTAGGTAATGATGGTATGAGAAGAAATAAATTAAAAAGTTTTACTACAACAAGGTGAAGGTAATATCATCTAACTATGGTACATCCTATAATTGTACCTGAATGACAGGTAGCTTAGAGCTGTTTAATATCTATTAACTTATGTATTTGCTCACTTTACTAATTGACATTGTTCATTAATGGGTTTCTACAAAAGTAGGCTTATTTGTTTCTCTTTATCTGTTTCCTTCTATTTTTGCAGGAACCATCTGGGCTGAGTACACTAATTTATTAGGGCAAAAATGATAATGATTTTGATGAAATTAAACAGTCATGTCCTCATTAGGATTCCTTGTTGGTAGGCTTTTGTATACTACCCACTAGTTATTGGATATTTTCTTTAAAAAATATTATCTTGAAATTATATTGTGAGTATGCTGTGATAATGCACAAGGCAGCGTCACAATCTCTTATCTCTTCTTTAAAATGATTTGGGTTTAGGTATCTTATTTTTATCACATTCCAGAAAGACATTGTTTCCTTAATTGGTATGCTAGTACTCTCCTGGCACCATTCCTGCATTCAAAGCCATATTTGTTTTTCGTATCTGAGATTTCTGTTTTTATATTCATCAGATTTGGTAACTGATTTCATGTTTTGCTATTATTTGCACATTCTGCTCAGTTTGTTAGGCACCTCTAAACCTTATGTTTTAATCTTATTCTTTCTATCTCTCTTATTTTTCCTTTTTATATGACTTCATCTTTTTAAACAAAACAATTGTCACTGAATTTTCTCTGCTAGTATTATCGTTCAAATATTCCTGAATTTTAACTTGCATAAATTTTGAAGTATATCTAGTTAATGAATTATTTATGACCAACTTCTTAGCTAGGATCTTCATTTTGCACTACATTGTCCAACTGTCCCCTGATAAACCTACAGTGAATTTGTCATTAGTACATACTATGTCTGTAGCCTGAGTGACATTCTTAGCAGTGGGCTTGAACTCCCTGCCAACTGAGCTGCGACCTTGGTTAGAATAAGATTTAGGAAAATCTGGCAAAGATAATAAAGGATTTCTAAAATATCAGCAGCCTACTAACATTAAACTGTATTAGTGTCAGCATCACCTGGTGCAAACAAACAAAAACATTACAAAATAACAGAATATAACCAAGGATATCTGTGCAAATTCAAACTTCAAATGAATTTGGAAACAAGAAAACATTTTGCAGCACAAAAGAATAACAATTCAAGAACAATCAGGGCTAAACTTGACTTGAAAAGATTTTTCACACTGTATACAAAAAAGAAGAGAGATCCTATGAAATCTATTTTAAAGAAACAAAGGAGCACTTTGGCATTAAACAAGAGAAGGCAATGAATACATCTTTACAAATGAAAAATATGCAAAAGTAAAATTAAAATAATTGTTGAAATTATTAAAATGTACAATAAGAAATGCAGAAAAACAATAGAAAGAATAAAGAAAGGAAAATGACAAACAGGTCATGGAGAAAAGACTGTGGGTGTCTAGCTTGTGAATAATACAAAATCTTAAAGAAACCAGAACAAAAACTAGGGAACTGATCATCATAATTACATGCATTTCTTAAGAGTTCTCAGCCTCGTAAGTTCATAAAGGAATTCAGGCAAAATACAAAGATATTCTCCATTTTTACATTAAATAACATGACTGCTCCAGTAATTTGGATCATGGTTTACTTGCAATTTTATTTTACAGTTTTATGTATAGAGTTCTCACCCATCTCTTATTAAAGCTACTTTTATGTATTTTACATTTTTGTTACTAATGTGAATGAAATACCAGTTTTCTTATTTTTTCTCCTAGCAAATTATTGCTTTGAAGGTATGTATCTTTAAACCTTCTAATATGCTAAATTTATGCTAGACTAATCAATACATTTTAGCTTATTCTTTTATATTAATTTACTATATTGTATTATTTGAATTCTTCTTTGAATATTTATTCTCATTAGTTTTCCCATGTCTTATTCTAACAATTTAAATTTTTAAAATAATTAAATAAGAATAATAAGACTAGAAATGACTTTGTTGTATCTGTTTCCAAAAGGAGTACCTAGGATTTTCACCTACAAGTACAAAATTGATTCCTAATTTAACATAGATCAACTTTGTCACTTTATAGAAGTAATGTATTTTCATTTTATAAATGAATATTTGTTGTCAATAGTGGTTAAATATTACCAAGTGTTATGCCATTGTGACTTTTTTCTTTTTCAAGTTTTTAAATTATTGATCTATTAGTAGATTCAGTATTTCTCTCAATTTACTATCTTGGGTTTGAAATATTTTAGAAATTGAGCACATCACATTCAAACATTACAGATATTTTTATTTGCTTGTTTGTTATTTTTTTTTCATAACTTAATAAAGGAAACTTTATTTGTTTTGGAGAAGATAAGCTAAAGTGAATCTGACAATGAAGGTGAGTAAAGTCACCTTTAGGCATATATTTTGAAAGTGTATTAAATAAATGCAGTATATATTATTTAAAAAAACAAGAAATAAAAGTGCATAACAGCACTTTTATTAAATAGTATCACAGTGAACAAAAAAACAAATTAGATAATGTAAGATAAACAATAACTAAAGTAATTAGATAGAAATACAATAATGAAATATGATACAACTGTGTGAATAAAATACCTAATTGTTAAATTACCATCAGCCAAAAGAACTTTCCAGGATCTGAGTTAACTATCTCTTTATCTGACAGTCTGCACTCTCCCAACCAGTTAAAGGGATTTTTTTTTTAATTCTAAAAAGTAAAGAAAAAATTTATTCTGTAATTTTGTTATTGTATGTGTGCTGTGTTTGCCTTTGTGTTTGTGTGTGTGTGAGAAAGTGTGTGTGTGTGTAAGAGACAGAGAAGGAATCAGAATGCATATGACATTCTGCTTGACTAATGCAACTTCACTCTTAGCAGTTTTTTTATTTTCAAAGGTTTTGCAAAAACTGAGATCATAACTTATACTGAAAACATTACTTGCAGTTCTTTAAATGCTCTCTTAGTCTAACTGATCTCCATCTCCAGTTTTATCTTCCCAAGTGGCTATTCTCTTATACTAACTTGATATACTCTGAAATGTTCATATTAGCATTTTGTTTCAAAAGGAAATAAGCATTTATATATATGGAGTAAACCAATCACATCTAATTTTCTATATTATGTGCACTGCTTCTTGCTGTTGGAGGGTGATAGCTACAAGCTGGAAATACTTCCACTCACTAGAGATTACTGTAATAGTAATAATGGGGAGGGGAGGACAGACAAACATCCCAAGATTAAACACAGGCCGTAAGTCCTGATGGTGCTTGAAGGTGGATGAGTGCCCCGAGAACAAGGATTGGCTCTGTAAATGTAGATTTAAATTATACTAGATGTTACAAGATAAATGAGGCCTTGACAACAGTGCAGAGAGGGTGAAAGAAAGAATTCTAAAAGGTAACCCTATTGTATACTTTGTCTTCATTGAAAGAGAGATTTTCCTTTTAAATGTAACTAGTATTTTAAAAGATATTATGGAGTAGACAAGAGTTAAAAAATAGACCTCAGAAACAAGAACATTAGACAAAGGGGATGATAAACGAAACAATAACTACTAATCCTAAGAGTAGGGAGAAACAGCTGGCTGAGCTGAATTAACCTACTGAAACTTATGGCAAAACCTCTACTCAGTGTTTTCCTGCTGAAGGGAAAATTCCTTGCGGATGAGGTTTTTGTCTTTCTGTTCACCATTACAGTCAAAGCATACACTATAGTCAATGCATTCATTCATCATTCAGTAAATATGTACCCAACATGAATGTTGCTGTGTGCCAGGCACTATTCTAGTCCCACTTTACATCCGTGAAGAAAAGAGAAATGTCTGATTTTGGACACTTTACATTTCAGAGCAGTGAGATACACAATAAATACAAGTAAGTAAATTATATAGTGTGTTAAAAGATGGTTGCTGCTATGGAAAAAAAAATTAGATGAGGGTAAAGGGAGAATGAGAATGCCAAGAATGAGTGGTACAATTAAAATGGAGTGTTCAAGGAAGATTCCATTGGGAAGGTTATATTTCAGTAGGCTTGAAGGTGATGCAGGAGTAAGCTGTGCGACTATCTGAGGAAAGTGAATTCCAAACAAGATGCTGTCTTTTTAGGATGTAAGTTTTCAAAGTTAAACTTATCCATTGCTAAAATAACTGCTATACTTAAAAAGAAGAATGCTGACCAGGTGCGGTGGCTCATGTCTGTAATCCCAAGCACTTTGGGAGGCCAAGGTGGGTGGATCATGAGATCAGGAGTTCAAGACCAGCCTGACCCACATGGTAAAACCCCATCTGTACTAAAAATACAAAAAAAAAAAAAAAAAAAAAATTAGCTGGGTGTGGTGGCACACATCTATAATTCCAGCTACTCTGGAGGCTGAGGCAGGAGAATGGCAGGAACCCAGGAGGCGGAGCTTACAGTGAGCTGAGATCCGGCCACAGCACTCCAGCCTGGGCGACCGAGCGAAACTCCGTCTCAAAAGAATAAAATAAATAAATAAATAAATAGAAAGAAAGAAAAATGCTGAGAGTCTGGAAATCAAAGAATTTTTAAGTCTCACTACAAGCCATCTTAAACCCTAACCCTTTCTCTTGGACAAATGAATACACTTTTTCTAAATTCATTTTCTTACTTATATGATAGATTTTTAAATAATATCTATCATTTAGGTGTATGATGCATGAAAATACTCTTCTTACAAGGCTTAGCTCATAGTGCCTATTAAATAAGAGTTATTCATTCATAAAACAAATATTTATAGAATGATGATGATCTTGATTCAAAAATCCTTCTCTTCTGTTCACAGCAAATTGACTTTTTTCCTTTTCAGTAAGAAAATTTTAAATAGTTTTAGAATTACCTAAATTTCTAAAATGGCCATTAC